GGGTGTATATTACTGATACACTACACACTGGTATGTGTATATTACTGATACACTACACACTGGTATGCGTACATTACTGATACACTACACACTGGTATGTGTATATTACTGACACACCCCACACTGGTAGGTGTATATTACTGATACACTACACACTGGTGGGTGTATATCACTGATACACTACACACTGGTAGGTGTATATTACTGGTGCACTACACACTGGTAGGTGTATATTACTGATACACTACACACTGGCATGTGTATATTACTGATACACTACATACTGGTAGGTGTATATTACTGATACACTACACACTGGCATGTGTATATTACTGATACATTACACACTGGTATGTGTATATTACTGATACACTACACACTGGTATGTGTATATTACTGATGCACTACACACTGGCATGTGTATATTACTGATACACTACACACTGGCATGTGTATATTTCTGATACACCACACACTGGTATGTGTATATTACTGACACACTACACACTGGTATGTGTATATTACTGATACACCACACACTGGTGGGTGTATATTACTGATACACTACACACTGGTATGCGTACATTGCTGATACACTACACACTGGTAGGTATATATTACTGATGCACTACACACTGGTATGCGTACATTACTGATACACTACACACTGGTATGTGTATATTACTGATACACTACACACTGGTAGGTGTATATTACTGATACACTACACACTGGAATGTGTATATTACTGATACCCTACACACTGGTATGTATATATTACTGATGCACTACACACTGGTATGTGTATATTACTGATGCACTACACACTGGTAGGTGTATATTACTGATACACTACACACTGGTATGTGTATATTACTGATGCACTACACACTGGTAGGTGTATATTACTGATACACTACACACTGGTATGTGTATATTACTGATGCACTACACACTGGTAGGTGTATATTACTGATACACTACACACTGGTAGGTGTATATTACTGATACACTACACACTGGAATGTGTATATTACTGATACCCTACACACTGGTAGGTATATATTACTGATGCACTACACACTGGTATGTGTATATTACTGATGCACTACACACTGGTAGGTGTATATTACTGATACACTACACACTGGTATGTGTATATTACTGATGCACTACACACTGGTAGGTGTATATTACTGATACACTACACACTGGTATGTGTATATTACTGATGCACTACACACTGGTAGGTGTATATTAGTGATACACTACACACTGGAATGTGCATACTAATAATAGTGCATAGCACATTGGCAGGTATATTTCCATATCACATCACACTGTATACCACACTGTGTATATTAAAGTAAACCACACTTTAGTAGGTATATAATATTAATACATCATACACGACCATAGGAACTACCTTTTTTTCTATATGACGTCCATATGGCGTTTAGTTAACGAGCGTAATTTATATACACGTCGTCAATAGTTGGTGTATGGTCAATGACGTCATCAAAATATGGTGAGCGACGGACGTAGTGCACATATTACTTAGCATGTACAAGGCGAGAAACTAAATTTTGCCGACAATATAACTGTAAACGAAAAATTGTCATTGTGGATGATTAGTAGAAAGCTTATATATGCTCAATGTGTAAGCGGTATTCAAATCACGTGATCATATGTGTATTTCATTTTTTAGGTTGTACATTTTTGGCGTGTATGCTGGTTGTTATAGAATGGCTGTATTAAACCCCCCTCTACGGTGACTACGATGATTAAATCACTATAGGACAACTACAGTGTTACTTATTAACAAGATAATATCATTTTGCTCGCTCTTCAAAATGTTTTGATAATATTTTCTTCATATTTTAATATGTTTCTTTCTTTGTAAAAACATTTCAAATAATTGACATATAATTTAGTGGGGTTTGCAAGGTTTAAACCTTTTAATTCGGGTCGAACTGCTGTAACCCGAGTTTTAATAGGAGTCGTAATAATAATGTTAATGAATTATTAATAAACGAGATTTGTACATCATACTTCGTTCGTTCAACATGTGTGACAAACACGTGACACTACGACTATCGATATGTATATACCCTGTTGATTGGCCCGTAACTAAGTAATGTGGACGTCACCTGCTATCCCATAACCTCGTCATTGTTTGCACAAAATAGTTCGTTACAAATTCAGGACCATCTTCGCCAGCCAAGGACCATTTATTTGGCCGAAGCCTCAACATCAATGGGTGACAGATTACTTAGGTTCTTCGGCTCTCTTGGCACGGGAAACTGACTTTTAGCTTTATTTGTTTTTACTAATCTGACGTTTTTCTGGTATATCCCAGTTAGGGATCAACAAATAACTAATTAAACAGTCCGGAACAGCAAAGGAATTGGGAACTTTTGCCAGAGCAACTTCGCAAATCACAAAAACAAATTAACAGTCCTAACGATGGTATTCCCAAATTAACACCAGTTGTTCATGACACACAAAACATTAATTCTTAACTCCGACAAATGGACCAGTTACTGCAACAGTGCCATACTCACAGAAAAATAATATTTTTATATTAACACATAACTTCCCTCGGAAGAGACGAACAAATACAAATAAAGTAAAACAAATGCCAGGAAAAGTCAAATCAGGCTAAGGTGTTGTTGCATACTTAATGAGATGAAATGTGCAAGAGGTATTGACATGTCATTGGCGCTCATTATGTATTCAAATTTATTTTGCATTGTGTCCAATTTATCATAAATTCTCACTCACTGCGAAAGCCATTCACCACCAAAGCCCAGGGGGGTCACTCTATATTAAAACCTTACCCCATTGACTGGCATTACATTGGCAAACCATATCCCCTATTGCGGACGCAATGTAAATTTAGTACCCCTAGAGCAGACATATTGAAGAAAAAACACCCCTTATTGCAGACATATATTGAGAACATCCTATCCCCTATTGCGAGCATTCTCTGCCGTTTTTTTGACTCAAGTGGAGTGTGGTCAACTCAAACAAGCTACTCATGGTTGTTGTGTATGCAACTCCTGTTGGTGTCATTTGTTGTTTGATGATGATTCGGGTGGGCATTTGGGGCCTGGTCGGGGCTATGGGACCGCCAATTCGGAGCCTAGGGCGGAGTATTGGAGTGGTTGTTGCAAGAGGGGCCTACAGCGAGCACATGAACCCTGTGAGTTTATTCCTGGGGGCCTAATGCAGACATTAGCATTTTAATGCTTTGGCCACCAAAGCCACTCATCGCGAAGCTACTAACACAGACAATAAAACATTTATTTATGGTATATAAATATTATGCTTAAAATACGGCATAGTGTACACCCACAAACTTTGTAATACCGGTACGTGGCCTAATAATATTGGATTATCAAGTTTGTCTACGTGCTTCTCACGGTTCGCCAGTAAACTATAAACTATCTAGTAACAAAAGAAAGTTTGAAAAATCGAGGTGTGGTGAATAACATGCGAATACCTGTGGTGATAAAATTAGAGAAGAATGCTCTGTATTTAATAGTCGGTTCACAATAGGAGAGGTAACCTAAATGACCTTGTGAGGAATGCGTCTCTGACTACAAATACAACCTAGATTGATGTTTATCGTGAGTGGTAGACAATGCTATAGTAGTCATACAATAGCATGTACAATATATTAATGCTCGCAGACAGTAGATTTATTGACGTAGTGAATATTCACTCCCATCGCCACTGCTACGTTTGATATAAACCGCAGTCTTTTTTTCCCCGGTCTGAAATGCTTATTGTTTAAAGGTCAATCAACCGGGCTAGTGAGACATCGTCTGTAATAGAAATCCGCTAAGCATGATGGTTTGGTTTGGTAGAGATTTTTTACACGAATGAAACACATTTTACGAATAAGTTTTAATTATTTCACATTTTAAGTACATTTCGTTATTCTGCGTGGTGTTTCTACCTGTGGAACTATGAGCTATTTCATGCGTTGTGACGTTCGTGTCGGCGAACGTACGCATAATCATGTCCCTGTTATTAGCCCCCTCCCGGACTTGTAGTTTCGCCTTCGTCAGTCCGTCAGCCCGTCAGTCCGTCCAGAGTGATTTCTTGGAGATGGCTGGACCGATTTTTTTGAAACTTGGTATAAGACATAGTGGTCAACCATACATGTGCAGGTTAATTTATTTTCCGATTCGATCAAATATGGCCGACTGGTGACCATTTTGTTGAGACTTTTTTTTTTAAATGATCAATATGACCGACTGGCAGCCGTTGATATTTCTCAGAGATGCCTTGACTGTTTTCAATGATACTAGGTATAAAGACACCTGGCGGCCATTTTGAATGTCAAAATCCTGTAAAATCCAGAGATGCCTCGACCGATTTTGCTGAGACTTGGTACAAAGACAGAGTGACCACTGGCACAAATGCATATTGATTTACTTTTTCAAGGAATCAATTAATGAGCTCATTTGCATACTTAAATATTAATTTGAAGTCTAGTTAATATCTTGTGAACTAATAGTCCAAATCAGACCAAAGACAAAATTTCACAATCGATTGAATATGGAAATTCAATCAATATTAAATAGCAATTACATGAACAAGATATTAAGACAAATTGAAAATTAATTAAATATGCAAATGAGCTTGTTAATTAAGTTGAAACTCAATATTGGATAGCACATATCGTATATTGACAGATCAAGTAAATCTATACCAACTTAAAATTGATGCAAATGTTACCAAATTTAATAGATATATCCTAGCTGTTAACTTTGAGTAACATACTTTTGATTTTCAACTTAACCTTCCTACCCAATTTTATACAAATACTTTCAAACTTTATAATTCATAGCCAACTATAATCACATCTGACAAGTGGGGGCTGTGTCATCTTCAGATGACTTGTTCGTTCATGTGATTGTTTTGTTTTTCAAAACACTTTTTTCCATTCATCACTTTAACCCGATTTCATTCGTTCAACTGAAGATTGATGTACAACTCTCATCAGATATTGCAGATGTGTCTTTTATAGTACTGTCGCATATCATTATATTTATCTGATACCTGACTGTTGTCACGTAGTGGTAGCTCTACGGGTTTTCTAGCGTTGTTCAAGTTCATTATGGCACTGCTTCTGGCAGTGTAATCAATTCGGTGTTATACTTGTGTGGCACACATAATACCATTGGCCTGTCTTCTTTTATCTCGATGTTTTATAAATATATGGACAGTAACAACATATCATTTCATTTGTTTCTGTCAATCTACTTTCCTGGTACACGAATGTTGACTGTCTTTCGCTCTAAACTTTAAGACTCGTATAATGAGAGTGAAGGTGTCTAAGACTTTGAATATAGGTGAATCATGGCGGTGCAATAACTGGACATTGTACTACAATCGCACAGATAATGTCTTTCTAGGATATATATAAGATTTCCCCATGTTCATACTATTTCTCCAGGGTCGGTAGTGACTGACTTTATTTACGTTGCAGCCCCTCTTCCACTGCCCCCACAGATAGTACATCCTGTGCGCTAAATTTCCATCAAGAAACTTGTGTCTGTCATTGCCCCCCAATTATCTTCTGAAATAACCCGTATGTATGTCCAAACAATAAACACTACACGTCACACTTATGCAAATTTGTCGGGTGACAGTGACCCCCCTCGATTCATATTTTAATTTGCAATTTATATTATGAATAATGAACGCTGCTACACATAATTTTATCGGCATTTAGGCGATTATTTGTTGTTAAAGTTAAAAATACTCAAGCATTAAAACCAGTTTGACTTTATTTCGATGAGAAACGATTCGGATTCGGGCTATTGTATTGCTGATATAGACACCACTCTTCTATATTATCACCAGGATTACCTCAGAGTCCATTGAAATTCACTGACTCCTGGCATCCACTGCGCACTACGAAAGTTACCTGCTACACAAGTTGACGACAAGGGCTCATAGCAATATCTGATTCAAACAGACTACCAACGATACAACTCGGAATATTTTATTTTCCAATGAATCCCTGGTTAATATAAGAATATTGACTTTTTAAACAATCAATGCTAATTTTACCCGTAATTCCCATGGCAGAAGTACTATGTCATATCTCAAATTGTAGACTGGTGAGATAGAGTCACAAAACTAATGGGTTATTTTTTTATTATTATTATTATCGTTATATCAGTTTAATACATTACTTAAATAATAATATTTTTATACACAGCAGAAAAAACACTTTATACTGGTTCAACCGTATCAAATAGAGCTGTCCATTTCCTACTTGCCTTTTCATAATTTAGATGTAGTTCATTATTAATGGTTGTTTTGAGCTGGGACATAAAAAAAGCAAAATTCGTTCTTGGGTCGCATTTGTTTTGGCACCATCTCTTAAAGAGAGAGTGCATGGCAATAGTTAGAATTTGGTCGATCATTAATATGCTTGTTCCGGTAATAAGTGTTCTCATGTTTAACATTATGTACATCAGTGCCAAAGTAGATAAAGATAAAACATCTGATTTTGCCCCAAAAATTCCGTACATCAATACAAATATAGAATATATGGAGACGGTTTCAACGACGAAACACTTATCACAGAATAGTGTGTTTCATATTTTCCATTGGTACAGATTATATCCATTTGGCAAGATACAATAAATAAATTTAAAAATAAAATTTGACAGTTTCCGTAGTGTACATACATCTTTTTCCCCAAATATGTTTCCAATATTCAGCTGGTATATCATACTTGTTAGACCACATATATTCAACATAATTTTTTTTCAATTTGTTGTTGAGTCAAATTTGTGTACACCAACTTTGAAATTATATTCGAAAGCATACCGTCATCATTATTAGTGTTAATATCCGATTCCGTGACACTCCCAAGCAAACTTATCCATGGTTTCAGGGCGTTACAAAGCATGTAATATTCATTTACCCAGTTAGTCTTGTTATATAAATGACGTAGAATCTTGTCCAGGTCTATTTTGTTAACAGTTATTATGTCTTACATATAGATAGTATCTTACATATAGATAATACTTAATCCAGTTAGAAAAGAATAGTGGTTTTCCTTGGTAAACAGTAAATCTATTACCCCAAATAATTTGTTTTAATATAGATTTGGTGCAAATTTGTTTAGAAGGTATAATATTTGATTGGTGTAATGCATGAATCATTTCTTCATCAAATGCTGGCAGAGATCCAAGACCAGGACAGTGTTGGGGATTTGAAAAATTACAGTGAGAAATTATTTTGTGGGTTATTTAATGGGTTACTTTTTGTTATCCCAACTTATTTCAAAAATCTGGGTTAAAAAGTACATTTCTTTGTGTTCTATAAAGTTGTTTGAAAGTAGCGATTTTGAAAAAAAAATATTAGACTAATTTTCATAAAAATATGTTCACTTGTTTTATGTTTTCATGGGACCGTGACTACAGTCTTCTCCTCAATACGCTTATCATTCAATTCAACTTGAAAAAATGTTTTTAACTCGTGCAGGAACATTCTTTGAACGCAGAAGTCTGTGACATTTGACATTTGCACTTTTCTAAGATTTAACATTCAGATGTTGGACTTTGACATTACTTGTTACATTATTAAAATACGTGTCAAGTGTGGGGCCCTGGATCAGCCAATCATATCAATGAAGTGTGGATATAAACGACACAGATGGGAATAATTTATTACGAAACACCGCGAAGTGTATACAGTATAGAAACGTATTTTCTATTTTGAGTCTGTGATATCGTACAAATTTTGCGTTTCCTACAGTATGTCCACGAAAGTAAGTCCGACACGATGGAAATATAGAAATATCAGCGATTGGATTGATATTGTAAAATCTTATGCACACAATGTGATTCACAACGAAATCTGCAAAAGTCGAATTTCAACTGATGTGAAATGCGGAATGGATCGATGTTTCCGACTTAAATCATATACCGTTTCCTGGGAGTCGAAGGTATAGCGTTTCGCATGCGTGTTCATGTCGTTTTGGGGCGTAACGTGAACTTCCGCAGGTAATATTGTGCTTCTGGTGTACCGAACGACGTCACAAAAATAAATTCCCTTCTATCGACTATCAGCAATCTGACATGTTTTTATTTTCCGCCATGACAAAGCAGGAGAATGTTTGCACCACCAGTCTCGCTACTTCCGGGAAAGTGGTCTAAGCATCACGTAGAAAACAAAATTAGATGCTACGAGGGCGACTGAGGGAGCTGTTCACAAAGGTCACCCTGCAACCACTTTTCCTGGCCTTGACCGCCCGGGCTGCTTTGCACTGAACATGTCGACGAAATCACGTATAGTGTTCTAAACGTGGCACACAAGGACTTTTTTTGTTGATCAGTGGGTAAGGTGATGTTTTTTTTAAGTACCCAAATTTAATGATTTCCAGATTCCTTAACCAAAATGGTTGTGACGGTCCCGGGTGAGGGTCCGATCAGTCTACCGAATTGGATGTTTGAACACTACATGGTACATTGTAAATCAACCGGGGTCGGTAACACATTAAAGCGTTTATGGTCGTCCAAGTGATGCAAAAATGGCTAGATTAATTTTCTTTCGTACCCACTAAACTCATTTGGGTACGCTAATTTTATATTCGACAGCGCTAAATTCTCACATTAGGACACGCTAAATTTGCATTGGGGCGTGGTACTTGTTATAGAATGAGTTAAAATGTATCTAACATGCCAAGTTTCATTGGTAACGTAACGTAAGGCTCCAGCTAAACTTGCAATCGAGAGCGCTGACAAAATCGGTAGCGCTAATAAAAATCGATGGCGATAGAAATTTTTTAGGGAGCTAAATATTGCATACTAAGTTAAGGCGTCTCAATCTTTAACCCGGAAATAATATGCGGCGTGCCTTATCGGGCGCATTGTGTCAACACAGGTGGCGCTATTCATCGGTTGGTTTGCGGCGATCTGCGTGTCAATGTATCCTCGGGGGCGGAGCTACGTCACAGACGTTCCACGTTGCTAAGACGCGCGCCACTGTACCATGCATTTCTATGGGCTCTGTGCGCGCTGCTGTGGAACTCCGGTCGAGCCGGTGAAAATTTGAGAAAACAACACAAACTCGACTTTGAAGTAATCCTGAACAACCATATTTATATATTATGTTACACACGTAGGGCTAATCTTGTTGCACTGTTCAGATGAGTATCAACAATCACCCCAAAGTACCGTTTTCTGCGAGTTTTGGGCCTTTGTTTTCACCGCCGCCGGTTGCCAGGTGGTGAAAATGCCCGGATGTCCGCCCCCGAGGATCGGGCGTTGTGTCGTCACCGGAAGCGCTGTCCCAGCACAAACATGTGTCATCAATCTCCTTCCCAGAGGCCTTTGCGCTTTACGCAATAGTGCCTCTGCCACAGGCAGCCTTCAATTTTGTGGTCAATCACCTCACTACGCACGGCCATTTTCCTGTAGCTGTTACATCTGAAAACGTTCTACAAAAAGTGGAAACAAATGTGACATCCGAACTATTTATTAATGTCAGACTTCAGTAAAAACATGAATACGAAGCATCTTATCGCGGACTATGTTTTGCGAGGTAATGTTATAGTGGTGAAATGGCGTACGTGATACACTAAAACTTGGAGGAAAGAAACGTTCTGTTAACGAATATAGTTGGGAAAGAAACATTAAAGACTAATTTCACTGAAAGGGGTTTCCTAACATTTCCGTTCATCTTGTATTCTGGTGAATATTTCATTACTATTTCTGGCTTGAACGGGTTCGATTTTGCGCGTCTGACAGTCATAGAACACAAAGGTTCCAGTAAGTTTATAAAGTTAGTCATTTATTGTACATTATAATGCTTTGGCATCTAGGAAATTATTGCACTTTTCTAAAGCAAGTCTTGTATATTTTATTCTAATTACTAAACATTTTATTCGATGACTTCTGTGGCAAATTGCACTATGTGTCAGCACTAGCACTTGCAATTTGCACATACAAAAAAAAAGTCAGGAGAGACAACGGTGACATTCAATGTCCAGAACTGTCGCCTGGCACAAAAATATTTAAAAAAAAAAAAAAAAAAAAAAAACTTTTTTGTCGGATTCAGGGCGTGAAACGTCTTACTAAAGTGATTAAAGTAACCAAGTGACTTTCGCATAACTTTGTTAACCGCCAAGATCTTGTAGGCTCGAACTTATAGCGCTCCGCCGCCTCTTTACACTAGTGTTCATACACGGAACTTAATAATTTTTTTCAATTTAAGTTGCTTTTTAATCACGTATTTTA